AAAAGCAAATTTGGTAAAACGTATAATAAGGAAATACCCACTTCAGTTCCTCTTCGAAGGAGTTCCCTAGCAAGTGGAAGCATCCCTAACACAATATCAGCACCCGAGTTATCGACAAAAAGCAATGCCCTATTGTACCGGTGAGGCTTCTTCTCGACCGAACCAAATATTCGCTCTTTGAAAACATCAAAATCGTCAACCTAAATTTGCATAACCACAGAAACATAAAACCCGACAAAAAAAAAAAAAAAAAAAAAAAAAAAAAAAAAAAAAAAAAAAAAAAAAAAAAAAAAAAGAGAAAAGGTTAATAATATTATTCTATGTTGTAACATAGATATAAATAAATAGCAATGCCAAAAAACTGAACCCTCCAAGGCCTTTGCATCTTGTTTCGACTCATTCTGTATATCTCGATAATCGTCCCTTGATGGTAGAGATCGACACAAGCTCGTGAGCCCCAGTCGAAGATGTTTGCTGCCAGCACACCTTCAATCAATGTAAGCAATCTTGTTTCCTGTTTTTTCTCAAATTTATGAATAAAAAAGGTAGATAATAATAATGACTCAATTATAAAATCCAAATTTCATAAGCTGAGGACTTTTTGTAGAATATGAAATAATTTTTTTTATTTTTTATTATTGAGAATCGGATTCAATGAATATTCACGTATGCCAAATTTCATCCTTACAAACAAAAGGAAGATTAATAAGAAGTGTTCATACCTCGTCCATACGGTCAATCTCCATCAACAAATCAGGTAGAACTGCAAGTGATGCCTCGTTTTCTCTAATATGAGAAAAAGAAAAAAAAAAATGGCACAAAAAAACTAAGAGAAGTAAGTAATTATATATCGAGCGTGAAGGTACTTTATGTATTCACCATATCCCATAATTTTTGGCCTATCTGAGAACTAAAAGATCATAAGTGGTAACTTAACAAGAACTAACATTTTTGCATGTAAAATTTGAAAAAAAAAAATGGTTGAAATTATCAATTCAAAACTTAGAATCCTTACAATTTTTTCAAACAAAGTTAAGATTCACATAACGAGATAGAATATAAACAAGAAACAATTATTTACACATGAGAAAGTCAGCTGTACCTCTGTTTTATGCTTCTGTAGGCATCATGAAAATGAAACTCACGTAAACACTCTTCTCTTAGTTCCAAAAGGTTGGCCAATCCCAACTTTCCATATGCAGCTGGCTCCTCCATTAATCTATCAAGCAATATAAAAACTATAATTAGCGGAAAAAAAGGAAAAAAAAAAAAGGAAATATAATAATAGTAATAATAATGGAAAGAAAATAGACCAAAAAATCAAATTATTTTGCACCTTGCAAGGTGAGCTGAGAATGCACGAGCAAACGCATCTCCTCTCCTTTTAGCATCATCTGTACCACCTTCACTAGCCACGGCCTGCATTTATCGCATTTTCGTAAATTCGGAATTAAAGATAAGTGAAAATATTCAAATTTTCAAGTTATCAATATTAGGATAAAAAATAGGCTCGTTTCGAAGATACTATTCAGTCTTTCATGGTTGGACCTAAAAGAATTTTCCGAGTACCTTATCTACAAGGTCTGGCATATGTCCTGACAGCACAGTGAACCAATACCTACATAAAAAATGATACATTGATCATTAAGTAACTTGACGAGATAGAAAGATAAACTGTATCTATAAACAAGGCTTATTTTTTTTTCAATGGACACACCAATCAAACTTATAATACTTACTCGAGCTCGCCATGATCTGAAAGATCTATAGTGTTGGGCTCGTATCTGCAAAAATAAGAAATAAAAAAAATGATAATAAGAGAAAGTGATCCTTGCCATTTCTGCAGTAAACTATGATATGATATGTTATATGTACACGAAATAAAAGGAGTTGTATATTTACTTATTATAATACTTTTGAATCGATATATAAAGACTTAAAAATTATCATACGATCCAAATTATATTTTTATAAATAAACTGACATTATTTGCATTGGACGCGATAAGTTTCTTTTATTCTCATCTCATCACAAGTACCACCAGCTGAATAATGTAAAGCAATTTCTACCTTCAAATGCATTTGCTTGTTAATTATATATATTTTTATGCGTATGGGAATTTGATAAAATCCACCAACGTGAAAAGCAGATGTACAACTACCACATCATCAATGCATCTCATGATAATAAAATGGGAATTATTTATTGTCCCGAACAGAAGCAACTTAGCCACGAGACTGAAAAGATAACAAAATGCCAAATGGAAAAATATTGGTAAAAAAGCATATTGATATAATTTCAAAATAGAAAAAAAAAGGGGGAGGCGGAAAACTGACTGATATGCAAAATTTCACACCAACCGATCACAATCAAACTCACGTTTTTGGATCGGCCAACAATGGAAAAACCTCCAAACTCGGTACCAAATGAAGAACCCCAACATTCAGTTTGCTAGCATCAGGTCTTAAAGTATCTCCTTTTGATGATGGGACCTCAAATCCACCGAGGCCAGTAGTTCCGGGAGGAGCCATTGGAACTGGAGCTGTTATTTCAGTCCCTTTCAGCACAAACTTTTCCATCCAAGAGATCTGCGAATGCACGCTTAGAAAT